CCTCGAGCCCCTCCTCCTCCTCCTCCTCCCCGACCCAACCCCCCTCCTCCTCTCCCCATGTCATCTCTCTCCCTCCCCCTCCTCCTCGTCCTCCCCCCCACCTCTTCCTCCCTCAACAGGCAGCCGCTACAGCCTCGCTCTTCTCCCCAGCCCTTCCTCCTCCTCATACTCTAGCTGCCGCTGCCTCCCTCAACTCCCTTTCCAAACTACTGAATCCTGTCCTCCTTACCCAGATGCCCAGTAGAGTAAGAGTTAAAATGTAAAAAATGAGAGCACAAACTATCCTACTCCTCTGCCCTCTCCTCCCCGCAGGCTCCAAACGGGCATTGATCAACCTAGAATCCACGGGGCAGACCCCGGCTGCCCCTTGCTCCCACTATCTCCTTCCTCACAAGCAGCCTGGAACCGGGGTGACCCCAGGGACCTCAGAAAGAGAGATGGCCCATGAAAGACCCCACCCTGCCCTCGGTAGTCCCCATGCCCCCCCCACCTTGGGCTTGAGGGAGACTTGGAGGGGACAGCTCAGGCCTCGGACAGAGGGTAGACACTCTCTCGAGCCCGGGGGCTCAGTCCCCTACAGTCCTGCGCAACAGCCCCCCTCCCCAGTCTCTCCCCCTCCGCCCCCGCCCTTCCCGGCAAATCCCTGGCGGGGCACGGATGGGAGGAGGCGGCTCGGCAGAGAGGCCCGCCCCTCCGGGCAGTCAATCAGGGCTTTGTTTGCACCGACCTGGAGCCTAGAGGAGCCGTAGAGGGCCGGGTCTGGGCCGGGGGCCGGGCCAGGAAGGGAGGGAGATGCAGTGGCACCGGAGGGGGCCGGGCCCAGGAGGGGCGGGAGCTGGAACTCAGCTCAGGCTCCTCCCGGCTCTCTGTCCCGCATTGGGGGACTAGGAGTCAGGGCCAGGTCGAGCCGCCAGTTTCTGCAAGGGCCACCCGGCCCCCAACATCCTGGCTAGGCTGGTCTCTCGGGCCTCTGCCGCAGCTTTTCGGGCGCTGGGAACTCTCCCGAGACGCTAGCAGAGGGATGTCTTCCCAGCACCCACCTCCCTCTTCCGCCCACCTCCGGCTTAGAGACACCGGAGTCCCGCTGAATGTCCCAGACTAAGGCCCTAGCCCTGCGAGGGCGAGGGAGAGTTTGCTCCCTAAAGATTCCGCGGGTCCCGAGAGGCGGGAAGGGTGATCTGCCCTGCAGGCGGCCGGGCTCTCAGCCGGATTGCACGGCTGTTCCCAGCCTCAGTTCTCGGGGCCGGCCCGCGATCCCGGGAAGCTCTGCCTCCCCTAAGGGCCCGCGCGTCTAATGCACTAATCATGAGTTCGTGGTGTGGTTACCAAGCTACTTTGCTCCCCACCAGCGGGCGGGCAAGCGCCAAGCCCTTTCTACCCAGCATCTCATTAACCTTCTTGCTGGGTGGAAAGACTGCATGGCAGTTGAAAATGCATCTGGGGGCTGCGCCAGATGCCTAGGAACATAGTCATTAAGTACCTGAGGGCCGGCTGAGCTGGGCGGGAGGATAAAGGTGTCCCAAGTAGCTTGCCATGCAGTGAGAGGAATCGGCCAAATTCACAAATCAGGGGGCTATGCCAGTCAGCAAAGCAGGCACTGCTTGAGGAATAGAGCCTGTCGCTTATTGCCTGGAGGTGAGCATTTATTATTCACTTACTTTTTGCAAGAAGGAAGCCTGAGGCTCAATGAAGTCAAGGTGTTTATTAGCCTAAGGCCATGGGACAAGTCAAGTACAAGCTGGAATTCAAGGCAGGTCTTCATACAGCAAAGCCTCCCGCTCCCTGAGCTTCACCACAGGTGGCTGGGGCCAGGTGCTCTGGGGAGAGGGACAGGAGAAGGAAAGGCAAGATCTGGCTGAGCTAATACAGTAGGCTTCTGGGGGATGTAGTGGCTTAGATGGATCTTGAATGTTGAGAAGGATTTTAACAGCTGGGAGTGGGGGTTGGATGTCCCTACCTAAGAGAGACAAAACGAAGAGGCATGGAAGGACTCTACTCGTAGAAAGAAAACTAATCAGGCCAAAAAGTTAATATGTATGCTGCCTCTCCTAGGAAACGTTTGCATTTTAATAAGAATCCACAATGCTTCAGTCATGAGGAGTGACAAATCATGGACATTATGGGCACTGGGGCTTAAGATTTGCTTTTTAGTCAGCAGTCTCACCATACACAGAACCAACTGTTGTCCTAGGGGAGCATTAGCCTTGGCTTCCATTTGCAGGGAACCTGATTAAGACTCTGAAAAGGATTATTTCCAACCCCAGAACTAGGTATAGACCCTGGAGCCTTGCAGCCCATCTCAGACTCCTACTGCCTAAATTCTAGTTTCCTCATTTGAATGGTGTTTTAGATCACTGGAGTGATGACACTCTCTGAGAATCTCTTGTGAACCTAGCACTATGCTAACCCTTTACATACATGAACTCATAATCTTCATAACAGTTTGTAAGATTGGGGTGATTTGTCCCTGTCTTATAAGTGAGGAAACAGAAGCTCTGATAGGTTAAGTCAGTTTTTTAAGTCTACAAAGCCATCAGGAGGTAGAACAGGGATCTTGACTCATTTTTGTGAGCTTCAAAGTATGTGCCCATTTAGAAGACAGGATTATGTAACCACCATTCTAGAAACACGTACAGTACCTATCATTTATCCCCTCTTTAAAAGGTACTTTATAATGGCTAGAGCACTGGTATCAGGACACCTGGATTCTAATCGTGGTTCTACCATTGCATACCTGTGTGAGCCTAAGCAAGTTGTTTTCCCTTTCTGAGCTTCAATTTCTTGATCTGCAAAATGTAGTTAATACCTCCTTTGCAGAGTTATTAAATGCTATACTGGGAAGTATAGGTTTATTTTGGATATACAAGAGAGCCATTGAAGACTTTTGAGTAGATAACTAATATTAGATCTGCATTTTAGGAAAAAAACAACTGGTGACAGTGTAGAAAGATACTGTGGCTTGGAAAGATTAGAGATAAGGAAGCCAAGCAATGAACGAGGTTAAAAAAAATGTTTATGATCTGAAACAGGGCAGTGACGGGATGAAGACAAAGGGGTGGCTCTGTGAACCATTGTTGTGGTAGAGATGACAGAACAGATTTGGTAGTGAGAGGGGGGGAAGCAAAAATGATGCTGACATTTCTTGCTTGTGTGAAGGCGAGGATGGTAATAGTGTTACTATAAGATTGGAAATTAGGAGCCAAATCAGGTCTGAAGGTGCCTGTGACTTTCTGACTCTTCTGCTTTCAAACAATTCTGTCAATTACAGCTCTAACATACAATTTTAATCATGACACTTCTCTGCTTTAAAAACTTTCAGGGATTTTCCATTTGACACTTAAGTTTAAATTCTTCAGCTAGGCATAAAATGTTCTTTATGGTTTGGGACCACCCTCATTTACTCAACAAAGATTTACTAAGAGCCTCTATGTGCCTGGCTCTGTACTAAATACCAAGGACACAAAAAGACCTGTTACCTGTTTCTGAGGCATTCATATTCAACCTGTCCAGCACTACTCTTTGACATTTTCTCCCCTCCCTTTCTCCCATCCATCCAGGATCCAAACACACTGGATTATTCACCATTCCATGACATATGGACACCTGTTAGTTTCTTATCCCTCACCACCCATTCTCCTCACTATCCTTCAGTTGAGATTCTATACCTTTCCTAAGCCTCCCAGGTGTGTTCAGCAAAGCAAATAGCGGATTAGTCTGAACTGGGGAGGCATGCCTCTTGCCTTTGTCATACCATTCAGTCATTCATTTCATAGGTTGTTACTGAGCAACTATTGTGTGCCAGTCACTATGTCAGGCACTGGAAACAAACAATGGTCCTTGTCTTCATGGAGTTTACAGTCTAGCGGAAAATATTAATGATGATAACTACCATTTATTGAATTTGACTCCACTAGACTGAGTGAAGCTGTTCTGAGATTGAGGAAAAGGGAAGAGAAGGATGCAAAGGATGAGACAAGGTTGAGAATGAGGTTGTAGAAGTAGGGCTAAGATCTTGAGATGAATAAAGTTTTTCTCTACAAATTTCTAAATCAAACGTGTACAACAAACATCATCAATAGTAACAAATCTTTAGAGAGTGCCTACTATGTATAGACTCATTCAGTTTGGCTCATGCTCCCAACAAGTGACGTGTGGCCCCTGTAAGCCCTTTAAATTATTTTACTAATCTGACTGTGGACCTTGGAAAACCCCAGTGGAGGTCTCTGGTTTACACTGCAAGTGAAAAAATGTGCCTTCTTTCTGTCCCTAACAGAAATAAGCCCACAATGGAATCATTCCAATTACTTAGGCCCTTGATTACTCATAATGATTAAGAAGCAGAGCAGTGGTTCCCTAACCTGGTTACACATCAAAATCACCTAGAGACTTTTGTAAAAGTACTGACTCCTGGGCTTCATTCCACACTTGCTGATTCAGAATATCTGGGTCTGGGTTGGGGGCAGGAATATATAGTTTTAACAAAGCTCCCAGTACTACTGATGCACTGCCAGGTTTTGAAACCACTAGACCAAAACAATAATAACCAAAAATTTGGATCTCAAAGGCTAGTACAATTTCTCTAAAATTTCTCCCCAAACTTTGGGAACCAACATAAGGATGTCAATTTTTAATGTTGCCATGTGAGGAGATGTATCATCACTGTCATATCATTAATGAAACGATGTTTTAACATGGAAATATAGAAAATGTAGAAAGGAAAGTCTTTCTCAAGAGGGGTCAGTTGGCAACAATTTTTCTCATGTGTCAGCAGACTGATGAAAATGTCACAAACTACCATGGGTCTGCAAGTTAGTGCTTGGGATTCACTAGACCAGATGACCCCTGAAAGTCCTGCTATCCCTGATATTCTCTATTTTAGGCCAAAGGTACTTCCTTACTTTGGGCCTCTCCTATTTTTCAATGGAATTTTCAGGCTAGAGTGGAACTCAATAGACCATTCTCATCATCCCCCTG